TCGACTGCGGACTGTTTGGGTCGTGCTTCAAATGCTGAGTTCATTTCATTTTAGTAATAAATCAACAGTGCAATGGGATGGAGAATGTGGCCTAACTCATGAATTAGCGATGGCGTTAAGTCTCTGCTTAATCCATTGTCATTGTGGTTAGATTGAGTTACATCAAGTTGTTCGCACTGAGGATTTTATCACAAAGAGGAAAACTGATTTGGATGCACAGAATGAAATGAGAATAATGCTCAAATAAAGCTTTACTTTTTAAACTTCCCGACAGAATTTAGCAAAATAATGTTTAATGCGGATGAATATGAATGGTGCAGTAGTGTGGATCATATAATCTGGTTCCTGGTAACTATATTTTTTTTACCTGTGTCTCTCTCTCCTGCATTATTGGTAAAATGAAAGTGTTGAAGAAACAAGCATGGCTGTGCACATGTGTCAAAATGTCGTTCTCGCGCGTCGCGCGCTCGCGCTCTCTATGATTCGAACAGGGATACACTGGTCCAGAAATGGAATGAATGGAAAAACCATAATGAGTAGTGTTATGCATAAAGTGGTTAAATATGTGTAAAATGTGCTTTATGTGCTCTCTCTGTCTGCAGATTGACCGTCCACGGCGTGGTGTGCTAGGACTTGATTGCCCTGGAGATGGAGGACGAAGAGAAGAGGGAGCAGATGGAACGGTGAGGAGAAGGTGGTGGGTCGCTGCAATAGGAAGTGGGCAGCGTCTCTTATATGGGTTCTTGGTGCGCAGTTGACTCTCTGAGCAACAACCGCACATGAGTTCCTATGTGTGCAAACACAAATGGCAAATAAAGTTCTTGAATCTTGAACCTTGAGGATTCAGACACAATTCAGAATTGATATCTGGTCTCAAGGTGGAGAGTCCCTTGCAATTCCCAAGATTCCTAACACAGGTTCAAAGATTCACTGTCCAAATACATACAAGCCAAATAGTTTGTTTTGTTATGTCTTGTTATTTCACATTGACCAAACCAAAGCCAAAAGAAATATTCCAGTGATTTAGTATTCCACTTCTTTAAAGTTGGGAACTTGTGAGAGACGGATCTTCTTTTAGTCCCTTGCATGGGTGAAGCTCTGAACACTGGATCCTACATTTTCCATAAAGCAACTTAAAGTGATTCGGTGAAGTGATTAGCTGAAGGTCATTGTTGCGCCAGCCTCTTCAGATGGTGATGGCCTGTTTTAAGGGCAGGACCACTTGCTCTGCTCAAATCCAGAACTGATGGTTTCTGCATTGACCTTCTGGACTTGCCAATGTATTGGCCCTCTCCTAGTGCTTTACAGCGGCTACTCCGGATGTGCTGTAGGGTTCCACATTTGGAGCGCAGCAGGCATGCTGGTGTCTCAGCTTTGCCTCATGTGTGGAGATTTGACAGCCTGGAAAGCATGTCAAACACCGTCAAGACAAGGAACTTGATCTGGTGGGCCTCAGCTCAGCCCATGTCACCTTTCTCTTCAGTGCATTGTCCCACCTTGTCCAAGCTTCCCTGCTGCCACATCGCCACATTCCTGCATGACCTCTCCTCCTCTATTGCTACTCTCACCTCCCACTGACCCAGGCAGCTCCTCTCCTTCCCCTTGGCAGTCTGTAAGGTTGGAAAAGATCCCAGCCCCACTCTGCCTTGAGTCACCACTCCCACCAGCTTGTTTGCTGCAGCCTTGACTCTGCCTGATGAACGGCTTCTGTTGCCTGCAATTACCTCACAGTCCTCAACTTGTTTCCAGCTTTGGCAACATTCGGGTCAATGTACTTCCTGTACTGCAACACCTTCCTGGTTCCCATCACCTTGAATTTCTCTTCTAAGGATCTAAGTGGCAGTTGCAGCTTGTTATTATGCTCATAGAGCACAATGCTGCTCAGACTCCGAGGCAGCCCCAATCCTTTTCTGAAGTGAGAACTTATTTACCTCTCCAAGGCCTCACATGTTGAGACTTTTTGTACCTTGTACACCAGATGTGACCATAGTATTCTAGAGTGCCATGCTGGTACACCCATATTTTAATGAGTTAGTGATGAGTCTCCTGCTTGTTTAAACCTTACTCTCACTTTCTTTCTCTGCTTTCTCTTCTGTGCTGTATAGCTGGTGTGTGCAGGTCCAGGCAATTGGAAGTGAGGCAGGTGGTTAGCTAATAGTTGAGTAAGGTGTTTCCTGCAGACCCTGCTCTCACCCAAACAAGGTTGAAGTGTGGGCTGGAGCAGCTTCAGATGTGTAGTGGCAGGTCAGCTCTTACACTGAGTCACGGCTGATAGGGTTTCTTGAACAAGGGTGTGCTTGTCCAGCTTGTAGTGGTCCTATGTGGACATGAGTGTTGCAACAGTTTTTACAGTTACTGTCCTGTTGCTGCTGCAATTGTGTATTCATCTTTCAAGAGGAAGGTTGCATGTGAGAAAATATTAAATATGGTATAAAATATTAAATATGCGAAATAAAAATGATCAGTGATTGAACAAGATTTTTGCTAAAACCTCATATAGTAAATAAGGACACACACACACACACACACACACACACACATCATTTGGCTTTTCTGTACCAGAAAAGGACAACAAATCTTTAGTAACAACTTCCTTTGACGCATGACACAGCTTCCCTCATACACCAAGGGCCAGGTGTATACTGTAACCAATGTGTACACAAAAACCATGCATATGCCGTTTTCCCACACAAACTGATATTTATATAAGAAAAATGTGCGGTAAGAATGTGCACACCTTATGTATACGTCACGTACCAGGGGTACACACAGTTTTCAGGAGATGAACATGATTTGAGATGTAACCTAATAGGGAAACGTTGTTTAGGTTATTTTTATTTTTTATATTTTTTTTTACTGACAAAACCCATTATTTCTTGATATTTTCCTTTGACTCTGAATTGTGAAACAGTTTTAATGTTTATATAATCTATTGCTCCACATGATGGTAGAAAATCTAATTGCATATTGACAGATTTTACGATTGGAAATTTGTGGAAATTAGAATTTATGTATCCCGATTATTATTATTTTTTTCATTGAAAAACATTTTACATCTGGAGACTGAAATTTGTAGGCCAGGGCATCTCTGCAGCACTACAGTACTTCATTATAATGCTGTTTTGTACACATTTGACTTTTATCTAAAAATAGCAGATTCTGCGATTTGAATATTGCACTTGGTCAGATTGTGATTTCGATAATATATATATATTTTTTAACTAACTATATAATATTTTATGAATGCTATTAATTCATCATTGATCATCCATCTGCCATTTAATAATGATGATTAAGATATTGCCCTGATGATGATGTACAGGTACATGTAATGAATTCGTGGTATGGGTGCTATAAATTGCCACAGCCGTGTTTAATGACAGCTGTTCTGATGCTATTAGAGAACCTTTCCCCATGCAACACAATCGATTAAATTAACATTTTTCTTTTTTACCATTCTTCCCATTAACGGGTCTAGAGAGCTTGGGAAAGCAGGCACGCAGCATGCGTTTAAGGGCGGTTCTACATTGATTATGGATAAATGTGTTAGTTTCCACAATGACTGAAATTTATTAAACAGAATTAGGTGTATGGGTGGCTATATAAATAAGAAATGTAAACATAAATATATCGAAAACTTTATGTTTGCATCTTTCTGTCTCTGTGGGTATACACAGTTTTGGTCATGAATAGTGTTGGGCAGTAAGGCATTCCTTGTCTTGATATTACAGTAATAATTAGGGATGCTCGATATTGGCTTTTCTGCCGATATCCGATATTCCGATATTGTCCAACTTTC